AAGATTTGTAGAAGTTTTAGTCATTTTTTATTTGTGTAAACAAAAAACAAAGCATCTACAATCAGAATTGTCACGACCCTAACTCCGAACCCGGTCGTGATGACGCCTCTCGTGAAGACAAGGTCAGCCAGACCAAGCAGAACACCTCATTTAAACAGTTAAATATCATAAATAGTTCTAAAACATGATATAATAACCATAATTTGCGGAAATAATGATAACAATAGTAGAAACCATCCCGACACAACCCAAACCGGGGTGTCACAAGTCATGAGCAACTAATAAATCCGGATACCGGTCTACTAGATACAAAATCCGATACAGAAGTTCAAGGACATGAAAATAGTAAGATAAGGGAGGCAAGGGGCTGCGGACGCCAACAACTACCTCGTAGTCTCCGAAAACACTGTCTGGACTGGGAGGATCAACACTCAGGAGCGGACTCTGCGATGCCTGAATCTGCACACACGGTACAGGGAGTAATGTGAGTACTCCGACTTAGAGAGTAATAATCATAAATAATGGCTGAAAGCAAGAAAACACGTAAAGGCACAAAGTAATTCTATATCAAGCAGTAAAAATAACTTAAAGCAGTAAATCAGTGAAGACGACAAGTGAAATCTCTTTAAATCAGGTAAAACGGTAATTTAGCAGGTAAATAACAAGCAGAAATCCACCTCATGAGCACGGTGTCAGTCACTCAAAATAGTATCAGCTCATCGGGCTCACTCTCATCATTTGGTGCTGCTCATTCTCAGCTCTTGACCCATATATCTCTCATAACAACAGAAATCAGAATAACCGCTGCTGCGTTCAACCCGATCCGTACATCGCTGTGGCGTGCAACTCGATCCATAAAAATAGTCGACTGCGCTCACTGGGGGTGTGCAGACTCTAGAGGGGCTCCTACAGCCCAATCGCTATATTGCTGCGGCGTGCAGCCCGATCCATATAAGTATTGCTGCGGCGTGCAGCCTGATCCATAATATATATAGTATCCTCACTATTAAGTTCTCAACCCCTCTGAGTCATTAACCTCACAGCCTCTCGGGCACAATAATAGAAGATAGGGATCTCAGCCCACAAATTCCTCTCATTTAGGAATAGTATGACAAAACCAACTTGAATCGTTCAAAACAGAGAGAAACATGACCGAGGATACGATTTTTAACAAGTATAGTGAGGAAAATCAGTAAAAATCCCCAAAGGGTTCAAATAGTTGGCACGAAGCCCAAATAAGGCAATTAGTCCCAAATCATGATGATAACAAATAAGTTTCAGTCAAATACGCGGTAAAATCACCAGTCGGGACAGACCAAGTCTCAATCCCCAGTAGTAAAAGACCCCACGCTCATCATCGAGCGCGTGTCTCACCTCAATATAGCACTACGATGTGCAATTCGGGGTTTCAAACCCTCAGAGCATCATTTTCAATCATTACTCACCTCGAACCGGCTAATTCTCTAGCTCGTGACGCCTTTGCCCCTCGAATTGACCTCTACGTGCATCGAATCTATCCAAAATCAGAACGAATACGTCACAATATGCTAAGGGAACAAAGCCCAAGCGAAAACATTCGAAAAATATCAAAAATCCCGAAATTAGCAAAACCCGAGCCTCGGGCCCACGTATCGAAATCGGGTAAAATTTATATTTTCAGAATCCTCATATCCTCACGAGTCTAACCATACCAAAATTATCCAGTTCCGATACCATTTGGTCCTTCAAATCATCATTTTATATTTTTGAAAGGTTTCACAATTTTCTTCCCAAATTCCATCCCAAATCATGAATTAAATGATGAATTCAATGATAGATTCATGTACTCTAGCCAAATCTGAGTTAGAATCACTTACCCCGATGAATTTCTTGAAAAACCTTCGAAAAATCACCAAAATCCGACCTCTCTAGGTCAAAATATTAAATAAAACCCAAAACCTCGTATTTATAGAGTACTCCTTAGATTTCAGCCTCCGTGGTCCGCACAGAACCACCGCGGTCCATGCAAAAGCACCGCGGTCCGTGCAAAAGCACCGCGGTCCGCACAAAACTACCACGACCCGCACAAAACCACCGCGGCCACACTTCATTTTGTGCGGTCTGCACATCACATACCGCGGTCGCACTCTTTTTTGTGCGGACTGCGCGGGTGAGTTCCGAGGCCTGCAACCCTTCTGGACCTGCTACAGCTATGATTTTCAGCTTAAAACATCTCGGAACCTACCCGGAACTCCCGAAACTTCAAACCAATTGTACCAACACATCTCATGACATCGTTCAAACTTGTTCAAAACTTCAGAACGCTCACAACATTATCAATCACTAATTTAACATAGGATTCAAGCCTAAGAACTCCAAGAACTCTTAAATTATGTTTTCGATCAAAAGTCTATCAAATCTCACCCGAATGACCTGAAATTTTGTACACACATCTCAAATGATACAACGAAGATACTGCAACTCTTGGAATTCCTTTCCGACCCCTATATCAAAATCTCGCCGATCAACCGGAAATCGCCAAACTATCAACTTCGCCAATTCAAGCCTAAATCTTCTCCACAACTCTAAAACCCATTCTGATCGCGCTCCTAAGTCACAAATCACCTTCTAAAGCTAACTGAACCATCAGAACTCACTTTCGAGTTCTAACACATAAGTCAACTTACGGTTGACTTTTCCAACTTAAGCCTTCTTAAAAGAGACTAAGTGTCTCATTTCTTCCCAAATCCTCTCCGAACTCGAACTAATCAATCCAATCACATAAAACACGGATAACGAAGCATAAAGAAGCTAAAATAGGGGAAAACGGAGCGGTGACTCATGTGACGACTGACCGGGTCGTCACAAGATTACAAATAATCTACAATTTATCTACAAAATATCTACAAACTGGGTACATTGAATTTTAATATCCCAATTTCCATTCAATTGTAGCTTAATTGGTATTTTTGATATAATTACGTTTTTTGCAAAAGATTTTGTAGAAGTTTTAGTCGTTTTGGATTTGTGAAAACAGAAAACAATGCATCTATAATCAGAATACAAATTATCTACAAACTGGTTACATTGAATTTTAGTATCCCAATTCCCATTTCAATTGTAGCATAATTGGCATTTTAAACATAATTGCATTTTTTGCAGAAGATTTGTAGAAGTTTTGGTCGTTTTTGATTTGTAAAAACATAAAACAAAGCATCTACAATCAGAAAACAAATAATCTACAATTTATCTACAAAATATCTACAAACAGAGTACATTGAATTTTAATATCTCAATTCCCATTCGATTGTAGTTTAATTGGAATTTTCGACATAATTGCATTTTTTGTAAAAGATTGTAGAATTTTTTTTCTTTTTGATCTCTCAAAGAGAAAAAAAATATTAGAGATGTCTAAATAAGGAATTTTAATGCTACAATGATTCCTTATTTAATGAAATATCTGGAAGAATATTTACTTCCATAATTGTAGCGCGCCTAAATAGGAATATCTGGAAGAATATTTAGTTCTAGATTTGTAGCGCGCCTAATTAGGAAGGAATCAACTCCTAATAATTGGTATTTAATGAATGGTATAATATTTGTAGAATAACTGTGAACATGGCGGGTAAATAAGAAACTATGCACATTTTTGGTAATAAGGTTTCATATATGATATATGAAGGAAAAAGTCTCTTTATTAAAAACCTTTCTGAATTAGGAACTGCTGCCCACTTTAAAAACAATTTTTTGCCCTAAATTAGCATAAAAAGTAATGTTGCCCACTTTTCAATTTTCAAACTCCAAAGAAGCTAAATTGCATTAGGTTAGTACTAATTCTTTGTCTCTTTCGATGATAGTTTTTTATTAAGTACTTGTACTTTTACTTTTTTTATTTCTTTATGACTAGAAGTGTGAATCTATTTTGTAATTTGAATTTATAATTAATTTTTTTGGTGTATTTAATGATTTTGGGAGTTAATGAAGTTGTTAATTATAAATTATTGTCGTGCTGATCAATCTACTATTCATCACTTACTTAGCTCGATGAATAGTGATTGTCGTTTTTTGTAATAGACCAAGTTATTAGATAATAAAAATAAGAGTTTAAGTTATCTAGAAAAACAAATAAGAGTATTACAAAATTGTAGTAGTAATCTTTGAATAAAGTGGATACTTGAATTTTTGATTCAGATTGAATTACAATAAAGAGATTCTATACTGCAACTTCCAAAATTCAAAATTCAAGTTCAACATCTCAAGATTTATCTAATTTGGAAGAAAGGACTAATGAGTCGGAACAAGAACAATATCGACAAAGTGAAAGAGTTAATTTAGACACTTTAGAAGTTGATCCTGGGGAAAGATTAACAATTCTAAAATATCATCCAAATGACTGTGATGCAATACGAAAAACATATCTTCAAAGAGGTGCTTTCCAACTTCGAGAGCACAAATTTCCTCAAAGAAATTTTTATGGTAAATTGTGTCGCTTTAATCCTCAATGGTTTTCTGAATATGATTGGTTGGAGTATAGCGTAACAAAAGATGCAGCTTTTTGCTTCTATTGTTATTTATTTCAAGATGAATGCATCAAACAAGGGGGAGGAGATGTATTTTCAAGTGTAGGATTTACAAGTTGGAACAAGAAGGATAGATTTGATATGCATATTAGTGGACCAAATAGTATTCATAATCAGTCAAGAAAGAAAAGTGATGATTTGTTGAGACAAAAACAATCCATTCAAAGTGTACTTGCTAAATAATCTGATCAACAAAAGCTAGAATATCAGATTCGTTTAGAGGCTGCAGTTGATGTGATAAGATATCTTTTACACCAAGGATTATCATTTCGGGGACATCGTGAAGATGAATCATCTCTCAATATAGGTAACTATGTTGAACTTCTTAGATGGTATACTAAAAGATGTGATCATATTGTTGCCGATGCATTTAAAAAAGCTCCAAAGAATAATCAATTGACTTCTCCATACATTCAAAAGGATATTATTACTGCATGTAAGATGGAAGCAGTTAAATGTATCATTGAGGATTTAAATAATGATCACCTTTCCATATTAGTTGATGAATCTTGTGATGTGTCATGTAAGGAGCAAATGGCTATTGTTTTGAGGTATGTTGATAGAAGGGGAAGTGTGATGGAGCGATTTATTGGTATTGTTCATGTTCGTGAAACTACTGCTTTGTCTCTAAAGAATGGAATTATTGGTTTACTTGCTCAACATTCTTTAAGTCCATCTTCCATACGGGTACAATGTTATGATGGAACAAGCAATATGCAAGGTGATATAAATGGGCTTAAAATCTTGATGCAAAAAGAAAGTAAAGGTGCCCATTCTATTCATTGTTTTGTTCATCAGCTTCAACTAACTTTTGTTGCAGTGTCTAAAAGATGTGATGAAGTGCAAGAACTTTTGTTGGTTGTTTCCGATATCTTAAATATGATGGGATCTTCTTTCAAGCGTAGAGATGAACTTCGCGAATCTCAAGCGGAAGAAATTGAAGAAGCATTACGTAAAGGTGAGCTTGAAATTGGTAGGGGCTTAAATCAAGAATTAGGTCTTGCTAGAGCTGGTGATACTCGATGGGGTTCTCATTTCAAATCCTTTAACAATTTTATTCTTATGTTTGACCCTATCATTGATGTACTTGATGCAATTGTTGTTAATGCACGTTTTGAAGAAAAGTGTAAGGCAAAGGGATATCTTAAACATGTTTAATGTCACACCTCCTTTTTCCGTACCCGAGAGGGTACAAAGGAGTTTTTCCAATTAAAGGACAATCGAAACGGGATTTGCTTATTTATTTCAGAGTCGCCACTTNGCAACAACCCAGCAACAAACAACCAGCCACAAGGATGAAGTTAACAAGTGGTCGAGCAACAAACAAATAATCCCAGAAACAGGATAGTAGAAAAAAAAACCAGCCGAGAAAGGAACCAGAGTGTTCTACGCAATAGCAACAGAAATTCAATAACCACCAAAGCTCAGCAAATAACCAACACAACTTCGACAATCAGTGAGACCAAAACTCAATCCGCAACACACAGAAGCTCAGTATAGTAACAATCACAGCAGAAGACAAACAGATTTCTCCTAGTGGAACAGTAACAACCCCAGTTAGAATAACTGACTTGGCCAGAACAGCTTAACCAACTTAGTTCCTTGTGCAGTTTTGGACAGTGTTTAGTTAAAGTGTTCTGAAAATTTCTTTTTGTTTTCTTCTTTTTTCTGAAGACCCAAAAGTCCCCTCCCCCATTTTAAGTTCTGAAACAGCTTATTTATAAGCCAACAACCCAGTGCAGCTAAGCTGCCTGGATTCTGCCAATTATGGTCTGCCCATACCCCTTAGCTTCCCATGTCTCATTACTCTAATCAAGGGTTATGGGCTTAGTTAAGTATTCATTTAATTCCCATGCCCTTGTGTTTTGTTCCCCATTAATAGTATTTTAATTGACACTTGACAGCTTCTTTCAATCCTGAACACTCAGTCAGATTTTCCAGTTCGAATCCCCCCTCCCACAGCTAACAAACCAAACTATAATCAGTCCAAACAAACCTTCACAAAAATCAGCCAGTAACTGGATGTGAAACTAACCTAAATCAGCCAGTTAGGTCGTTTGTTATTTAATACTGTGAAACTAACGTTAAACATGTGACGAGTCGACTTCGCGAGTTATAACATATACTAATTAATCGCTAATCAACTAAACTTAAAACAGAAACAAACTGAGTGTTTTAGGCCTTTTCCGGACAACGATGGAACTTTACAAACTTAATTACTTGACGACGTTACTCAGGTCGACTATACGAACTATCATACGTAACAATTAAACGACTAACAACATAGACTAAACAGGGTACCAATTTATTTCAAAACTCGGGACATTCAATTATGCAGTTTATGAAACTTAACTAACCGACANTTGAAACTTAACTAACCGACAATATCAATCGAAGTGACTAAACATCTTATAACACTCAACTAACATTCAAGAAAAGAAATCAACCAAACAAAAGGGTCTTTGAAGATGGACAGAGAATAATCAAAAACAAACTAAACAAAACCATAAACATATGCATAACTCCTAAACAAAAAGCAAGAAAGGACGATTACATCGGAAACTTACCTCAAACGAAAACAGGTTTGGTTTTTTTAGGGTTCTGGGACTCAGATTTGGGATTTGACAAGTTATGCTTGCATTTGACCGGAACCAAAGCTAGTTAAGGCCTCACGGACGTTAGGGGAGTGACCAAGGTGAATATGGGGTGGTTTGGTGTAGATCTAGGTTTGGTCTCGGATCTTCGAATCAAGATTCGAGACGTTCGGGGAAGATTCGAGGTAACCTGAGTATGGATTTGGAGAGGGGGGGTCATGGTGGTTCAGGGGTGTTAGACTCACGGCCAACGACATCGCTGCCGCCGGCTTTCAGGCGAAGGGTGGGGTGGCGGCTAGGGTTTGGGTGTTAGGGTTGGTCCCTTCTGAGAGAGACGAAGGAATGAGGGGTGGGTGTTTGGATAGGGGGCGGGGTAAAAGGGTTAAGTTTATATATGCATTGAGGGTATAG